CCTGATTTTACAGGAAAGTGGACGCTTCCCATTTGGGACTCTTCTAGACTCTTCCCTATACATCTCTTCTTTTGTGTGATTTTAATGTGTTATCTTTCACCCATAATACACTGTAACTGTGAGTACAATAGCTTTCAGTGAGTTTTTTGAGTCTTAGCAAATTATCAAGCCTGAAGTTGGTTTTGGGAAGCTCTTGAACTTGCAGTTGATGGCAGAAATGAGGGCAGTCTTGAAGAGTATGTATACCTGTAAATTTTGTAGTTTAACTAACTCTGGGTAGAGCTAAACTATCTTTTATAAAGGGAACAAATAATTTACTCTCCTTTTAGAATAAGAACTCTAGTTGATCATTTGCTAGTATACATTTTTACAATTAGATTCCCAAAATATGATTTATTTAAAAGGACAAGATGCAACAAAATAACAGTAATACAGAGTTTAAGAATAAGAATGAGGCTGGAGAATAGGGTCTGGAGGCAGGGAACCTAAGGCCGTTTTGCACTGACTTCCTAGAACTAAATTGAAACGAAAACCCTAACTTTCTATGCCTAAGTAACAAAATGACCAGAGGCTACTCCCTTTGCAAACCCCTACCTTTTCTGCTGGCAGATGAGAAATTCAAAGTACCTCTGATTGGTTGGTTTTTGCAATTAATCAGACGTTTGCACAGGAGCGTAACTTTGTAACTTCACTTCAGCCTCTGATCGGTTGCTGTCCACAACCAATCAGACTGACTGTGGGCCAAGCCTTCATTTGCATAGAAACGCAGTTTTGTAACTGTACTTTATCCTCCCATTGGTTGCTTTCCACAACCAATCAGATGTTTGCTAGGAATGTAACCTTTGTAACTTCACTTCAGTCTCTGATTGGTTGCTTTCTGCAACCAATCAGACTGATTGCAGGCCACCACTTCATTTAAATGGGGTGAACACCAATTGGCCAATGGCAAACCTCTAGAGGGTATTCGGACCTGAGAAGATTCTGTATCCAGGTCCTTGAGCGGCTGCTCAGGCCCATTCCCACTCTGTGGAGTATGCTTTCATTTTCAATAAATCTCTGCTTTTCTTGCTTCATTCTTTCCTTGCTTTGTATGTTTTGTCCAATTCTTTGTTCACCGATAACAAGAGTATATAATAATTGTCAGAGAATTGGTTTGCTAAACGCCTTCAAATGCCTTTACCAAAGAAAGCAATTAATACATACTGAAACTAGTTACATGTGTATCTCCTCTTCTAGATTCAGAGCATCCTGCTGGCAAAATCTTACATTTTTTACGCCAATATTATCTAGGTTTTGCTTAGGCTTTGATGGATAGCAGATATTCAACACTTTTTAAAAAATTGTTTATTGATACATAAATTTGTATATTTTTATGGAGTACATGTGATACTTTGTTACATGCATGGAATGTGTAATGATCAAGTCAGGGTATTCAGGGAGTCCATCATCTTGAGTATTATTTCTTTTCTTTTCTTTTCTTTTTTTGAGACAGAGTTTTGCTCTTGTTGCCCAGGCTGGAGTGCAATGGCATGATCTCAGCTCACTGCAACCTCTGCCACCGGGTTCAAGCAGTTCTACTGCCTCAGCCTCCCAGCTTGGTGGGATTACAGGCATGTACCACCATGCCCAGCTAATTTTGTATTTTTAGTAGAGACAGGTTTTCTCTATATTGCTCAGGCTGGTCCCAAACTCCCAACCTCAGGTGATCCGCCCGCCTCGGCCTGCCAAAGTTCTGGGATTACAGGTATGAGCCACCGCGCCCAGCCACCTTGAGTATCATTTCAATGTGCTGATAGCATTTCAAGTCCTCTCTTCTAGCTATTTTGAAATATACAATACAGTGTTGGTAAATGTAGTCACCCTACTCTACTATCAAACATTAGAACTTATTTCTTCAATTGACATATTTGTACCCATTAACCAACCTCTCTTCATCCTCCCACTCCCTACCCTGACATACACACACCCTTCCCAGTCTTTGGCAACTATCGTTCTTCTCTTTACCTCCATGAGATCAACTTTTTTAGCTCAGGTGTGAGAACATGGGATATTTGTCTTTCTGTGCCTGGTTTATTTCACTTAACATAATGAGTAGGTACTCAATATTGGTATAATACCAAATGCAATTTGAGGAGTTTCAGAAAGGTCTCTCAAAGACCTCTGTCACTCTCAAAGTGACAAAGGTATTCTCCGGTGACCTGTCAAAGAGTTAAAGATTCACCATTCACTTAATTTTCTTCCCTCAATATTCCTGAAAGTTCAATGGCAGTAAGCAAAATCTCTAGAAATAACACACAGCATTTTAACAGTAGATTCATTTAGATAATCAGATTATTTTCTAATTATCAGCTTAAAAATTCTGAAATGTAGTATGAACCAGACATGTCTTAATTAAAAAAAAAAAAAGAGAGAAAAAGCTACATCTACAGTTGGGTAAACTAAGAAATTTCGTGAAGGATAGGTGGATGGGTTCTTCAGGCTGAGGAAGTAAGATACTGGATAGAAATGTAATAACATAAAAGCAATGAATACCAAAAGAGGAAAGAAACATACACTAAACAGAGATAATGTGGAAAATTGAAGACAACCATCAATTTGGCAATTTTAAGACCTACTTTCATGAAATCAATTCTTTAATATAAAACAATCTCGCTCATGAAATTAATTCTTTCATATAATACAATCAATGCAAGAGTCCTAGTGTTACAGTTTCACTAGTGCACAGCCTTTTATAATGTCCACATTACACAAACAAACTCAATAAATGGCACAGGGTTAAAACTGTTTAAAACTTCACTGTTATCCCAGTGAAGTAGCAGGATTATTTGAGACCAGGAGTTCAAAACCAGTCTGGGCAACTTACATAGCAAGAACCCATCTTAAAAAACAAAACAAAAAACAAAACAAAACAAAACAAACAGTTAAAAAAATTAGCTGGGTGTGGTGGTGCACACCTGAAATCTAAGCTACTTGAAAGGCTGAGGCAGGAGGACCACTTGGGCTCAGGAGTTTAAGGCTGCAATGAGCTATGATATTGCCACTGCATTACAGCCTGGGTGGCAGTGCAACATCCTATCTCTTACAAAAAAAAAAAAAAAGAAAGCCAAATTCTAACATTTTTGCACGTCTGTTTTGTCATTATATATTCCTCCTCATTTCTCCACAGAATTTTTAAGATGTATTACCTATTTTTATGATTTTTAAAATTTGATTTCAATGTAAACAAAAAATTACCCAGTTGTGGTGGCATGTACCTGTAGTCCTAGCTACTTGGGAGGCTGAGGTGGCAGAATCACCTGAGCATGAGAGATTGATGCTGCAGTGAACCATGATCATGATAGTGCACTCTAGCCTAGGCAACGGCAGTGAGATCCTGTCTTAAAGAAAATAAAAACAAATAGGTCGGGTGCAGTGGCTCACGCCTGTAATCCCAGCACTTTGGGAGGGTGAGGTGGATGGATCAGGAGGTCGGGAGATCGAGACCATCCTGGCTAACACGGTGAAACCCCCTCTCTACTAAAAATAGAAAAAATTAGCCAAGAATGGTGGCACGTGCGTGTAGTCCCAGCTACTTGGGAGGCTGAGGCAGGAGAATCGCTTGAATCTGGGAGGCGGAGGTTGCAGTAAGTGGAGATCACGCCACTGCACTCCAGCCTGGGTGACAGAGTGAGACTCCTTCTTAAAAAACAAAAAACAAACAAACAAAAAATCAAAAATAAGAAATTAACTATTTTATGTCAATGCAACTTATCACAGAACAATTTTTAAAATATATTTTTAAAATAAAGTAGAAATATATTTATTTTATTTTAATTTAAATTTTTTAGAGCAGGCTCTCACTCTGTAGCCCAGGCTGTAGTCCAACTGCATGATCATGGCTCACTGCATCCTGAACCTCCTGAGTTCAAGCAATCCTCTTACCTTCCAGCCTCCTGAGTAGCTAGGACTGTAGGTACATACCACCTCTCCTGGCTTAAAGACGAAATGTTAATGTTCAATGTATACACACAATTTTAGGACAATTGTTTAAAGAGGTCAAGAAGCCAGCTTTAATAATTTCTAAGCCATTTCTATTGGTATCAGAAAAGAAAATGCCAGATAAGCAATGTATTTTTATCAAAATGTATCCTTTGATAAAGGTTAAGTGAGCATTCATGCACAGATCAAGTTAAGTATTATAACTTTTTAAGTGTATGTTAAAAAACATAACTGTTTAAGTCACTATTGTAAATATATTTTTGTTCATGCAAAAATATATTTCACATTACTTACAGATCAAAAGTTTTAACTTCAATTGTTTTAGAAGGAGACAAAGAAAATAAACATAATGCATGTACGTATTTGTGTTATGGTCTTATTTGATGATATATCTGCTTGGGACCTAGGTCTGAAATTTGTAAATAACTTTTTAAATGTTCATCCTTAACTGACTATTATCTTTCATTTCTATTTCAGAGAATTCTACATTTAACTTCTAGTATCTAGTTAGCTAACTAATCCTAAATATTAGCAGTAAAGGATGAGCAAAAAAGTAGTACTTAACATATGACTTTAAGATTCTAAAATATAAAGTCATGAATGAGAAAAGTTAAACTCCAAATGATCTACTTTAGGTTCAATATAGTTTTTAAAACAAGAATACTTCAGACTGATTAATTTAATAAATCCCATGGGATTAGTTCCTATATAATAAAAAAATAATTTTTAAAACTATTGTCTTAAAGTAAAACATATACTCTATAGAATAACGGTGAAAATACATATCAAAGCAACATAAGGCACTAGGGAAGCAGATAAAAGATTAATCACATTATAAAGATGGGAAAAGGAGAACAGGAGAAGTAATTTTTTTAACAATACTAAAGGGAGATTTGGAGAGAGAGAGAGAGAACCAGACAAAAAAGAATGAATTTTATGAAGTTCCTGGAATAAGTTCAAAATGCAAGGATTTATGCCATTTTTAAAGGTACATAGCTGCCTTATAGACGTAAATAAATTACCTCATTTTCGGTTCCCACATCCAGAATGACAGGCAGACATTTTTGAGGATTCATCCCTCCGCAAGCTGTATATAGAGCCAATTTACCCACAGGGATGCCCATGCCGTTACAGCCAAGGTCTCCCAAGCCAAGAATACGCTCTCCATCAGTCACCACAATGGCCTAGAAGAAAAAGAAAAATTACCTATTAACAGGTTTTCACAAATCCTGAGACACAATTTCTGACTCTACTTCTGAAGTAACTACTAGTGAAATATTAAGCTGTGAAAAAAACATAAATTGAATATATATGAAAAAGATTTTATAAATTGTAATTGTGGAAGAATAAGGTGAAGAAATGAACTTGATTTATAAATATGCTTAATTAGGTTACTGAAAAAAGAAGGGCATGTGTGCACATAAAGATTCAAACATACCAAATAACTTAAGTTTTCAATCAAGAGGAGCAAGTAGGTAAAGCATAAGGAAATAAGAGCTCACACCAGGAACCAAAAGAAGGTGGTTTTGAGCAAGAGAGTCCTTAGTAAATTACTGCATAGTTACTGAAGAGATTGAGGAGGTTACACCTCTGCCCTAAATGCTCTGATCTTTAGTTTATGCATCCTGGCACTATCCTCCTATTTTTACAACAATCTGACCCATTCTCCTTAACTCCTATAATCACTTGATATCTTTGAAACATGTCCAGTACAGTCTGCTACTTCTCTTACCTGAACATTTTCCACTAGATTTAATGAACTTTGTCTGCTTCCTCCCTCCCTCCCTCCCTCCTTCTTTCTTTTTCTTTTTCTTTTTCTTTTTCTTTTTTCCGAGACAGAGTCTTGCTCTGTCGCCCAGACTGGAGAGGAGTGGCGCGATCTCAGCTCACTGCAACCTCTGCCGCCCAGGTTCAGGCAATTCTCCTGTCTCAGCCTCCCGAGTAGCTGGCATTACAGGCGCTCACCACCATGCCCAGCTAATTTTTGTATTTGTAGTAGAGACAGGGTTTCACTGTGTTGGCCAGGCTGGTCTCAAACTCCTGACCTCGTGATCCACCCGTCCCAGTCTCCCAAAGTGCTGGGATTATAGGCATGTGTCACTACTGCGCCCAGCCTGCTTAGTTTATTTCTAATTAACTTGAATATTTATGAAGCATATACTTTAATCATGTGGAGATTTTAATTCGATGTAATTTGATATCATTATTGAACATCTTTGTGATCATGTCAATTATATGAATTTAAACAAAACCAATCTGATATCATTATTGAATATCTTTCTGATTCATGTCAATTATATGAATTTAAACAAAACCAATCTTATGAAACACAATTTATTAGTCTACAAACTGCTACACTCATCATATTCAGAGAAATGTGGGAAAATGTCAGTTATTTGGCCTCGGGTGAATTTTAAGCTTCTGTTTCTTATTGGTAAATTGGGAGTAATAAATGTACTTTTCTGAGTAGCTGTATAAAATTGGGAACTGGGTCTTTTTGCTCACCACTGTACATCAGCACCTAGTACAGCATTTGGCACACAGTAAACAATCAATAAATATTAGTAAATTGAATAAAACTATGATTACATAAAATGAAATCATGATATATAAAGAACTTACCACAGTACCTGGTACATTACAAATTCTTAAAAATTTATAGCTATTATTACTATTATTTCAGCAGAGCTAATTATAAAGTCATAGCATTTTAGAAGTAAAGAGAAATCTAAAGTATATTCCATCTATTCCTCTTATTTTATAAATTAGGAAACTGAAAAATCAGAGAACTGAAATAATTTCGCTAAGGTGATTTACTTGGTTAATATCAAAGAACCAGAAACCCACATATGTTAATTCCTAGTACAGTGCTCTTTTCACCATACCACATTGCAGAATATATTTTAAAATATATTTCTAAGATATTTTATTTAATTTCCTGTTCACCTATATTATTCAGCTCTTGCAAAACTATCTTAAAAGCAAATACATTTGGGAGGTAGGTGAAAATCATTTTTGCATATTCTATACATTTGTCTTTGGAAGATTTTTCATGTCAAATAGCAATGGATCAATATGTGATGCTCTTTTGGAGGAAGCAATCTGATACTACTGGGTTAACTTAGCCCTGATTTCAGGTAAAAAAGATAAATACTGCAGAGAACTATAACTTTGTTTTTTAAATTAAATTAAGGCCAAATTTTCAAAGTCCTAATACTTCTAAAGTGTATTTAACAGACAGTTTTATTTATTGCATTACCACAAATAGAGGTACTTTTATGTATCATTGATAATATATAACTTTTGTGAATGTGATCTTTACATAGGTAAAGTCCATTTGGCCTGCCTATACTTACAAATATTTTTAATGATATGTTTTATAAGAAAAGTAATATTGTCATTTAGCTTAGTTAGCTTAGTCATTTAGCTTAGCTTAGTTATGACCTGAATAATAATTTATAAAATGCTTTCCAAATTTCATCGAAAGTGCTTAAACACAGAGAGGTGTTATTTGGTTTCAAAATTCTGAAAAAGGAATTTCAAGTGGCATACCTTTTCACTTATTTTTGATAGCTCATCTATGTTAAACTAAATATATGTCTTGAACATGGAAAAAAAAAAAAAAAGCAGTCCACTTGCGGTAGCTCACGCTTGTAACCCCAGCACACTTTGGGAGGCTGAGGCAGGCGGATCACCTGAGGTCAGGAGTTCGAGACCAGCCTGACCAACATGGTGAAACCCCGTTTCTACTAAAAATACAAAAATTAGCCGGGTGTGGTGGTGAGTAGCCTCCCAGCTACTCGGGAGGCTGAGGCAGGAGAATTGCTTGAACCTGCAAGGCAGAGGTTGCAGTGAGCAGAGATTGCACCATTGCATTCCAGCCTAGGCAAAAAGAGTGAAACTGTCTCAAAAAAAAAAAAAAAAGTTCATTATTTCTTATTTCTTCATAACTTTTATTCCCTAAGTTCTTCTCTCAGAGTTATTTATGTTATTTAATTATATACATATACATGAACATTTATATGTGTAGTAGTTTGAGAAGTTTTTAAAATATGTTTTGAGACATTTGATATTTATGCTTTATTACAAATGTACATTTATGGCATTAATTCATAAATACTTCCATATAAAAGAGTAGATTTTAACAGTAAAACAATTCTCTCAAAGAAAAAAAGTTTTGTCACTTACGTAGTTTATCACTAAATTAATATTCTCTTGCTTTTTTTTTTTAACCTACTTTATCTCCTGCTTCAGAAAAATGAAGCAGTTGGATGTTTTCTATACAATCATTAAGTCACAACTGCAGGATTAATGTCAGTAAGACAACTACAATTCTATCAGTGATGTCCATTTCTCAGAAATTAAATCTTCACCACACTATACAAATTATTATCTAGGCATTACCTGAATAGAAACTTCTGTATGAAATATGCAGATTTCTGCTGAACACACAAAGATACTCTCCATGTGTCCTGTCTTCATCCCTTCATTTAATTTCCCAAGGCCCATCCTCTTGTAGCCTACCTAAATGCAGAAGCTTTGCATCTTTTCCTGCTTTCCTGAAACTACTCTAAAATCTGTTTTCAGTGAACCTTGTTCAAATATTACTAATACAAAGTGATTTCCTTGTTAAATATGACATTCTATTTGTTCAAATCTAAATCTTTTTCTGAATTTCAGAACCTTTTATAATTTTATTACCCCTTAAACAATCTTAATTCCACTATATTCCAATATTAATTCAGCTTTAGTCAGGCCAGTGAATTTTCTAATTGTCTAAAAACACCCCATTCTCTTACTGAACTTGATACCTACATTCATCTGTTCCCTTCTTAGAATAGTATGTTTTTCCCTTTCTAACTATCAAAGGTTGGATTTAAGTTCTGACTTTGCTATAAAAGTTTTCTTAACTATTCCAGCCTTCTCTAAATAATAATATCCTCAGAATGAATAAATAAGGCACTTATAATACCACATAGTTTGATTATATTTTGCCTAATAATTGACTTTATTTCATGGGTACTTTCAAGTATATAGTGAGAGACCATATAAGATGTACTTATCTATCTTCAGCATTCTTTTACAGTCAATAGCTGCCATTTACTAAGTACCTACTATGTGCTAGGCACTACACTAAGACTTTTAAATAAAAGAGGGCATAGTTAGGGATAAGAACATCAGTAAGGGCCCAATATTAAGAGTCCAAAGGATAAAAGTAGCCTATGAATAAAGTTAAAGATGTAGAGATCAGCTAGTTGGAAAAACAAGAAACATGGTGTGATAGCTTTCTGCCTAGCTGTTACGATTACAGGGATATTGACTAGAACTCTCTACTGCAGAACTATTTCCTACATTGACTTGTTAATCCTTTTTTGTTTTTTGTTTTTTGTTTTTTTTTCTGAGACAGGGTCTCAATCTGTTGCCCAGGCTAGAGTGTAGTGGTGTGATCATAGCCCATTGCAGAATCGAACTCCTGGGTTCAAATGATCCTCCTACCTCAGCCTCCCAAGTAACTGAGACTACAGGCATGCACCACCATTCCAGCTAATTTTTAAATTTTTTCTAGAAATGGAGTCTCACTATGTTGCCCAGGCTGGTCTCAAACTCCTGAGCTCAAGCAATCTTCCCACCCACCTCGGCCTCCCAAAGTGTTGGGATCACAGGCCTGAGCCACCACTTCTAGCCAACTTGTTAATTCTTTAAATCTCCTTTAGATCCTGATTAAAAGTAAACATCCTTAGGTGACCAGACATTTATGCTTTATAGAATTAAGATGTTTCTTAGGGTAGTTTCTAAGACCAGAATCTGGATAACATGGTCTTGTTGATAGCAGAAAAGCTGAGGAAGCAACTTAGGTGGAGAAAGCAAAAAAAAAAAAAAAAAAAAAATTGAGGACATTGGAAATAATAAAAACCACTTTAATTTACAAGTTTTCCTAGCATGAGCCCTACAGAACCAAATTAATCAATTATAGCCACAATATCTCAAATAGGAAAGATCACCCAGGCATGGTAGCTCACACCTATAGTTTCAACACTTTGGGAAGCTCAGGCAGGAGGACTGCTTGAGGTCAGAAGTTCAAGACCAGACTGAGCAACACAGTGGGACTTTGTCTCAAAAAAAATTAAAATAATTTTAAAAAGATCATTAGTGGACTTACATTCAGAAGTTATACCTGAAGTGCCTTTATACCACCAAAAGGCATTGATTTATTCCATCCTGGTACTAAAAGATACCACAAAGTTGCTAGGCACTCAACAGAAAGGAAAGAGGGAACCAAAGGGAGAACAAACACTTCTCAACTCCCTTAGACAAGGAAGATGGCATAGCCCTGTGTCTAAGAACAGGGACTCAGAGGCCAGCTCTGGGGCCTGTATGGAGTTCCCACCACTATCTTAGGCTACTTTGTAACCCATCTGTGCCTTTCTTTCCTCAATCAATTATTATTATTATAAGAGCTAATCCATGCAAAAAGTCTCATTCAGAATGCTACCAAATCTCAGGTACTATTATTACTTTTATTTTCATTAGCTCACTTACAGAGGGAAGTCAAATGAGCTACTTAAGGTCATAATAATAAAAGAAATGAAACGGCCGGGCGCGGTGGCTCAAGCCTGTAATCCCAGCACTTTGGGAGGCCGAGACGGGCGGATCACGAGGTCAGGAGATCGAGACCATCCTGGCTAACACGGTGAAACCCCGTCTCTACTAAAAATACAAGAAAATTAGCCGGGCGCCGTGGCGGGCGCCTGTAGTCCCAGCTACTCGGGAGGTGAACCCGGGGGAGCGGAGCTTGCAGTGAGCCGAGATCGCGCCATTGCACTCCAGCCTGGGGCACAGAGCAAGACTCTGTCTCAAAAAAAAAAAAATAATAATAATAATAATAATAAAAGAAATGAATTAACAGACTTTTTTTCTTGCCTACTTGGATTCCTCCTAGTGGATAATTAAACACAACAGATAGAATTTAAGGGTTTGCTTAAAGAAATTCAGATGCTCTCACATATTCAACATTTATCATTACTTAGAATGGAGGTACTAAGAAATTAGATAGAAATAATAGGAAAACTTAGTATCTAAATGGCATCAGAATAAAATTAACCCACTATGTAAAAATCAAAGGGATATAAATTAGGTGATATTCACTAGAAAAGCTAATGAATGCTACCTATTATCATGAGAATTGTCAGTATGTTTTAAACCGTTTTATGGGACAGAAAAAAGAAAAAATTTGCCATAATGAAAAAACATGATAACTTACCTTGATGACATCTTCTGGCCATGCATTGAGAACCGAAGCAATATGCCCTCGATCGTGGATACTAATAAAGAGACCTCTGGCAGAAAAAAAAAAAAGGAGTAGTTTACATTTACTTAAGGCCTGTCAAACTATCATGAATATCTTAAACATTTTCTCAAACAACAATTTAATATATCTCAATTTTTATCAAACTGGTGAACATTATTTCCTTAAATAAGGGGCAGGAACTCTTATGAGTAAGGGAAAAATTACTTGAAATAATATATTGACATATTACTGTAGAGTAAAGGGAAGTTTGTTTTCTTAGATATTTTAAAATTTTTTAAATTAATAAACATTCACTATTTTTATGTACAGAGAATTTAGATAGCATTATCAGTTCCACTCACAAATTCATTCAGAATCTGTCATGATATAATATACATAAAAGCACTTTGAAAAGCAACATGAAGCATCTGTAAACAGGCATTTTCAATGTATATTCCACTTAATCCATTTTCAACACGAAGATGAGAACATGTGTTAGAGATGGCTGAAGTGACCGACTAATGCTGAGCAGCTCTTTCATGTAGAGCTCACTTGATTTCTTTGATTTGTGATCTTAGTTGCCGTTTGCAACTCTGTTATTTATTCTCAAGTCTTTAACACTGTTTGTCCCTCCCATTTCCTACAAAAGCTTAACAAGTAACTTCACAAATTAAATTAATAGAATTTAAAATATGTAAATGCCTTATCCTCATTTAAAAGTTTTGCTCTAGTATTGTTAAATATAACTCAGATATAAAGAACCACATACAGCTTAATGAATTGTTATAAGACAACCACCTTTCTACATAATATTCATTTAAACAGAATCTTGCCAGCTACCCAAAACCTATCCACATGTTTTCTCCCAAAGACTCTTCCTTTCTAAGTGTAACCACTATCCTCACTTTTATGGTATCACTTCCTTTATAGTTAATGTATTGTTTTATATCACCAAATCATAAACCTTCCATAGGCACTATTGTTTAATTTGGTAGAGTTTCCCTTAATATGGATTTGGCTAATTAAATCCCTACCATATAGATTAACATGTTAATCTTTCTTCTGTATTCTTGGAAAATTGGTAATAGAAAATTGAATCTAGAAGCATAATCAGATTCATGTTCAATTTTTTTGGACAACACATTTCATGGTTTGATGTTATCAGAAGGCACACCATATTTGGTATTCCTTTTTGTGATGTTAGTAGCTTATTTTGCTAAACGTCTAAGTTCATGAATTAATCTGAAATTACAAAATGGTGATATTCCAATTATATCATTCATTATTTATTTACTGGAACACCCCTTTAAAAAGAAATTTCACCACATCTATGGGTATCCAAAGACATGGCTGATACAGAAAAAGAAAAAATGCTCGATTTTCTTTATCAGTTTTTAAATTAAAATCTGGTTAACTAGATTTCTTCAGAAGTTTCCACTTAGTTGTTGTTGTGTGTATGGTTTTGTTGTTGGTTTTTTTTGTTTTTTGTTTTTTTTTTTGATCAATTTGAACTCATGGATTTAAACATATTTGATGTGTTTCAATCCATTATAGTTATTTTCCTTATTGATATTCATATTATTTCATCTTGAGCAAGTGAAAGACTCTTCATGCTGTCCCCTGAGTCCTTTTGACATGACTATAGAAGTTTTTGATGGCTTCCTTGCTCTGTTATGATCAAATGTCAGGTCTATTTTGAAAGTTTTCTGCCCCAGACCTAAAATGAGTCATTTTTCTAACCTGTTTCCTTGAGCAGAAGGTGGTTTTTCAAGAATACTATCTAGGTAATAGAGATGCCTACTGCTACTGATTGGCAAAAGTATTGTTTTAGAAAAATCACAAAAAGTGTTGATAAGATTTACTTACTATTTATGGCTGCAAATTTCCAACTGGCACTCTTCTCTTGTGAAGTTTACCACCCACTATGATGTCTTAGCAAATTTAACTTACTATTCTCAGAGAGGACAATTTTACATCTTCTTTCTCCTCACTCTTGCACACCTGTTCCTCTGTCACACTTTGTTGATAATCTAATCTTGAATTTCAAGAGAAGTAGATGCAGAACGGTAAAAACTACTTCATCATTCTAATATAAATTCCACTAACCCATCTGCATCTTTTTTTTTTTTTTTTCCCACAACTTCTGCCTTCCCTCCTGTTATAAGAGAAGAAATTTTCCTACCATTATTAAGGCCATCCTGTTTGCTCAGGATCCTATCCCATCTCACCTTTTCAAAGGCTTCACTCCTGTAATTATTCCATCTCTATGCTGCATCACTGCTTTTTCTACTGGAGTTTTTGGCACAAAAACCTGTGCTATATTATCCATCTTTTCAAAACATTGGATTTTATCCCCTATTCTCTTCTGATTCATAGCAAATCCTTCAAAAGATTTGCATATTCTTATTGCCTTGGTTTTTTATCATCTATTCTCTCTTCTATCTGTCGATAAGGCTTTTCTTCCTCACTTCTCCAAAGACAACTCTTACTAAGTCACTGATTAGTCTCACCTCAGTGCAGACAAAGGTCAGCTCTCAACTCCCATCTTATTTGACCTCTTGACTGTGTTTGACATTGTTGGCTTTCCCTTTTGTGAAACACTTTCTTTTCTTGCTGCTGAAATACCACATTTGCCTAGGTTTCCTCCTAATCACCACCTGCTTTTTCTCAGGTTCCTTTGCTGCCTCCTCCTCCTCTTCATCTTCTTAACGTTGAACTGTTCCAGGGCTCTATACTCCTCTCTTCTCCAGTTATATTCACTGATGTAACTTAAGCACCCTCATGGTTGGTTGGTTGTTTTTGAGACAGTGTCTTGCTCTGTCACCCAGGTTGGAGTGCAATGGCACAATCTTGGCTCACTGCAGCCTCTGCCTCCTGGGTTCAAGCTATTCTCCTGCCTCAGCCTCTCGAGTGGCTAGGATTACAGGAGCCTGCCACCACGCCCAGCTAAATTTTGTAGTTTTAGTAGACATGAGATGGGGTTTCACCATGTTGGCCAGGCTGGTCTTGAACTCCTGACCTCAAGTGATCCGCCTGCCTCAGCTTCCCAAAGTGTTGGGATTACAGGTGTGAGCTACTGCACTTGGCCTCTCATGGTTTTAAATATCATATTCATAATAGTGACTCTCAAACTTCTATCATCACCCTAGACTTCTCCTTGAGCTCCAAACTATAAATCTAACTACCTACTTAATTCTTTCTCATTATTCAATCTTCAGCTAAAATCTTGGCTCCTCAGATAACAGTAGTCAGTGCACTTCCACCCCAAAATTTTTATTACCTTCATAATACTTAAAAATATCTGGAATTTTTTATTTATATATTCAAATGTTAACTGTCTGTGTCTTCCCTGGCATCATCACCCAGCGTACATGTACACACAAAGCGGTAAGGTGCTTCAGTATACAGACTCTATTTTGCTTACATATGTAACCCCAATGCCTATAAGTGTGCTAGCAATTAGTATGTATCCAACAATATGTGCTGACTTCAGTGCTGAAAAATAAGCCTTTTATAATCAAATATTATAAAGCATAGAAAACATGAAATAAATCCAGACTTATACTGACTCATTAAGTAACCAAAAATTATGTCAGTGCTATAGGAAGATTACTGATGACTGTCTGATTCAACAAGAATATTAATGTACTAAGCTGACACTACATTATATCTTAATGATTTTCTTGCTGTTTCATGTGAATGTATTTTGTTTCTCAAAACTGATTAAAGTTCTTTATAAGGTATATATTTCTTTCGGATCCTTGTCATAGTACAATGTGAGCCTATAAAATCAGCAGGATCTCAATAAATAATTATAAAATTAAAGTATTTTTGGACTTTTTAAAGAAGGCGTTTTTGTTGAATTATTAAGATGTTCTTGGCAATACACTATTTTTTGTTTGTATAAATCACGAGGACAGGAGATCGAGACCATCCTGGCTAACACGGTGAAACCCCGTCTCTACTAAAAAATACAAAAAAACTAGCCGGGCGAGGTGGCGGGAGCCTGTAGTCCCAGCTACCCAGGAGGCTGAGGCAGGAGAATGGCGTCAACCCGGGAGGCGGAGCTTTCAGTGAGCTGAGATCCGGCCACTGCACTCCAGCCTGGGCGACAAAGCGAGACTCTGTCTCAAAAAAAAAAAAAAAAAAATATTTAGGGGGTACAAGTGCAATTTTGTTACATGCATAGCTTGCACAGTGGTCAAGTCAGGGCTATTGGGGTATCCAATAATATTTCTCAGGAACTTGCGAGTTAGCAAGGTTTTCCAAGTAACACTGGTTTCAGAAAATACCATTTTTTAAAATAAGAGAGACAATGAATTACACTAAAATTAACTCCAATTAAATGCCAATGTTTACTATATCTGAGTTCAGCTTCAGGAAGAGTCATTTGGCCACCTGTAATCTCTTGCACTGAGTAGAGATTCATTCATAGAAAGAATTATTACTTTTGAAGAGAGCTCAACAAATAAAGGACCTGTAATGTCCCACCAAAACCAAGCATTTTGGGAGAGCTATTTGAGTTATTTGCAAAAAAATCGAATGAGATATCCAAAAGTGTTTTGGTACAGAAATGACTCATACTTTCTGGTAGAGAGTTGGATATAAAACATTAATTTTCAACATATACATATATACAGCTGTAAAATAAAAATGCTTAAATAAGAAAGGTATTTATCAACATTTTTAAATGAATGGAATTATAATGAATACCTTTTCACCATCCCTGCTATTCTTGATCAATTTAAAATGTTTAATTTTAAATATGCCAACTAAAAAAACTCATATTTTCACTCTTATTTCATGTTAGAACTAAGACAATTTTATAATATGAACTCCTTTTTCATATATACAGTTAAAATTTGTCTCATAACCTCTTCCTTCAAAACAGATTTGGGAGATGAGATAATATTTTTACTTCTTCATGTTATCTCAGATAATATCCCTAAAAGTTTGTTTCAAATCAAGATAAAATTCACCTTTTTATAACATGCAACCTTCTACTGTAATCAAACTTGTCTTTCATTTTGGAAATAAGTTTGCGACCCT